AGTACATCAGACAAACCAGCAGACGACTTGAAGACAGATTTAACGAACACCGACGAGACATTATCAATAAAAAATGGACCTGTCTGGAGTTGCAGAACATTTCTGCAGCCCAGCACACACCATCAACGACCTTGCCATTACACCGTTACTCAGACTTATTAATGACAAACGAGAGAGTGTTCGTCGAGCTAAAGAGCGAGATCTCATTGGCCTAGCGAACACCCTCACCCCCAACGGCATGAGCAGAACTACCGACCGTTAACTTTACAAAACAACTTATCACCCATCACGCCGCCCTCACAACCCACACCATATTTTCCGTACCATTATAATCATCATCACCACCATTACTATCATCAACATTCCATTATTCTTAGTTCCATCACAATTATCATTATTATTATTTTTGTTTTTTTATATTCATATTCATTGTCGTCATTATCATCCCATTACACCAATCTCTACAGCACCATCCACATTTCATCCACAACTCACCCACCACCCTCTCAAACTTCCATCATCCCATTTTTTCTCCACCGAGCTGCATTCACACCATTCAACATCCATCAATCCGGCATCACCATCTCACATTTCAAATTCATTCACTCGTTCGTTTAATTTACTCTGATGAAGCCCTGAATACATTTTAAAATATTAGTATTCGTTTAATCTAATTTATTTTGAAAATTTATCTCATAACATTGAATTCTCGTTGCTGTTTTGCTTTGTTCCTGAATTTTATCCTCGTATTTATATTATACTCATCGCAAGACTCACAGAATCCAGGGGACAGCCTATCCTGCGGTTCTTCCTTCTCACACAAACTTTTCTTTGTTTCTATTCATTTTCATTTACAAAACGTTAGCCTGGAAATTACTAGGAGAGCTGTTTACTGCTCTCCTGGCGAAAGTCTTATGGCCAGGCCAGTATGGGCCCTTGATCTTTCTCCATCAAGTCACTACAATAACGTCGTAAACCATAAAAACGGTAACCCTTTGGCAAACTTGAAATTGTTCACATTTAGTAGTATTTTATAACGATGGTTCAGCTTACGTGGTCCAAAGTGTACCTTACTGCAGCCGAACGTTGAACGGAGTATGAATTGCAAGATGGGAGAGAGGTTGATCATATTTGAAAATATGTTCCAGAATTCTTACCCGGGTGCTGACGTGAACAGTTTCTAAAGGTAGCTAAAATTAAGTGGTCAGTTTGAAGTTAAAGGGAGAAGAAGAAAAAATAAAATATCTAAAACAGCGTCATATTAGATGACTTTGTAAATCGTGATAACATTCCACCGGCATCTTTCTTTCGGCACTGTGATACTTAGTTAACGGCGAATGATCGTTTGATCGTCTGCAATGAAAAGAACCAATTAACACGTGGCGGGATTTTGCTCCAGAAAAAGGACTTACTCGTTGTGATCATTAAACATGATCGGTATATATTCATCAACCGGTATCAGTTGCTTCAGCGGTTCACCGGCAATCAACTTTTGCGCGCCAGACAATCGCATTATGTAAGCCAATGTCCAATAAGAATATCTAGCCCATACTAGGTTTTTCGTCCCAGCCATCCTTTCTTCTGCAGTTAGAGACATTCGTTTTCGCCCAACGTATCTGCAAAAATAGCTGCGTATCAACACATTAACAAACAAGAGAGATCGCCAAACCATATGACGAAGATATAAGGCTTGACTTGAAAGTTTCGAAGAAAATTCACCAAATTCATATTGCTATGTTGTTAAATGAAGCTATAGATGTTGTTCTACTAAAGCAAAATTTGTTGAATTTCAGTACTTAAATGATACAGCTGTATATTTGACTTCTACTTAACTTTTTCAGTATATAAACTGAATAAACTAAAAGATAATGAAATTAAATCATGAAATATACTCCTTATACTTACATTAAATCCCACTTCTCGTCCCATAGTAAGTCCTTTGCTTCTTGCAGAACCTCCCTCATTTTGCGAACAAAGTCAGGCTCAAAACGGACATCGTCCTCCAGAACCAGCACATATTCCAGTTTGTTCGCCACGATCTACGAATCGCAAGGACTCAGCTCTATTTTCATTGTTTTTCTTTAGAATCATTTGACAAAGAAACGAAAGCATTGTGTAAAGAAGCCTTCTTTGGCCAACCTGCGATTGTCTGTGTAATATTTGAGGATCATATCTTTACAACATGCAATGCTCGAGAAAGATAGGCTTATAAATCATGGTTTGTCACCTGAGTTGTCAGTTTCCTGGTTCTAAAAATATAGTTTGGTAAGCACGAAATTGGGAAAATCTTAAGTGAAGAGCCTACTAAGAAATAGTTACTAAACCTTTCATAGGTCCAGTTTATATACAGCATAATGTACTATGGATCTACGACTTGGGTTCTCAGGTAAGGCTGTCAGGTAAGAGCTTATATAGATCTTGAAGTTCAAAGATAGTTGAAAGCTGTACGGCTATCTGCGACTTATCGGATTCATCTTCACATTTCGGAGGCGATCAAAATAATACGTATCGGGTTTGTTTTGTCACAAAGCTGATCAAACTTTAGAACCTATTTGCACTAGAACATAAGCAGAACACTTCTTTTGTTTTCGGAGAGACACCAGTTTATAGGGTTTCGAAACGGAACAACTACTGCCAAAGCCTTATTATCTAGTAAAGCGTTCATTTAGCAATTTTTTTCTAGCACAAGCAATAGTATTATGAAAGGAAACTGAGATTAAAGGCTCTTGCGCAACCGGCACAATAAATTTCTCAAGATAGCATGCCGGTCGCTAAGCATGCCGGTTGCGCAAGAGTTTGTAATGTATTTACCTCCTTCCATATATTCCAATGACTCAGAAAACAGCCAACTTCACCCATAGTTATAGGCCTTGAAAAATAAGAAAGTGCACGGGATTGTAATTTTTGCAAGTGCCTCCTGTCTTTACTTGAATATTAAAGCTACGTTACGTTGTTCAGACTTACAACAGCAATTTAACATTCATGAAATAGGAACAACTCTAAACAAAGAGAAGAATTACAAAAGCTGGCAACTGAAAACAACAAGGCATCGTGGCACAACCCGATACCTGTACTCGGTATGAGTATTTAACAGAATTTCTAAGAAATGTGACTTTTTAGGGGAATTCAGGGGTGCAAAAAACTCTAGCTTGAAATAAAAAGAGGAAAGCTGTGATCGTAAATGACATCTTGTTTTACGTATTCTCTTTCCTATAAATGAGAAATGCCGTCTCAAATCTGACACGTTATGAATAGCTTAGAATAATACCAATATGAATGCCTTTGTTGGATAGTTACGTTAAGTTAAGACCAGAGGAGGAAGTTGTGCGACGATGACGTCAATTGCCTCGTTGTCGGTCCCTTTTCATCAATAAAATGGGGCCTCTCACGAAAGGTTGAAACGATACAAAAAGCGTGCCACTGCTCTAAAATACTCAAGAAAAGAAATTATACAGATAAATTATTGTATCAATGGTAGTATACCTTGTTTATAGCACATACTGGTAGTCTTTAAGACGGGTAGACTGGAATTCATGTGTATTTGTTAAAAATTCTAGACAACCTAGTTACCATACATTCTAACGAGTATATATCATATACGACCTTCAAAAAGAGTGACCCTTACAAAAAAAGCAAAGCTTCACGTAATATTATACAAGAAATTCTTAAGTGCAACACCATAATTACCGTTCAAGATAGGGGTCTTGAAAATCCTTCATTGGCTGAATTCCCATGCCATCTATTATTTCTTTGGTTAAAGTCCTTTGGGAGAAATAATCCCGTTAACAAAGCATGTCACAGATATTTCAAAATTGATAATTCCATTAAAAAATGATATGAACTTGAATCAATATTGAGTATAGATATCGTAAAAATTGAAATTAATTCTGTAGCATCAAAGATACCTAATCATTGGCAACATTTAAAAAAGAATTAAGAGTACACCCTATAGAATGCGACTGTAGATTGTGTAAACAATTTATTGCTGGGTTAGGTTTTATTTAGAACATTATACCTTAAACCTTTTTAATATTGTATCATATATTTTTATTTCATACTAACTCTTTATAGATAAACAATCTTTTGGTGGTACAAAACTTGTAAATAGCTTTGAAAAAAGCAAACATTTAGTAAACTAAAGCTTTTCGTCTGACACTCTTCAGAGTTTAAAACGTCAGAACATAGATCGAAAACTCTACGCTAAGAAATATATATACCCAGTTGTGGATCGAAATAGGCCAATCGCAAACACGAGCACATGGCTGTAAAGGTTGACCAATCAGTGCCGCTTGCCTATTAGAATGCTACCAATGGAATCCTAAGGTGAAAACGAACTCCTTTTGTCTACACAGTAGCGGTTTTTTCGTGCTTATGTAGATAGATTTTAAAACTGCTAGGTGGAACGACGATCGGGCTTTACCAATAATCCGAAACATGTCGCCATTAAAGTTTTTTGCACAATCTGGGTTTTCTAGCAAATGCTGCCCGATAGCAGAATCGCAGGTTTTATTAGTAATTTTGGATTTGCAAGACCGAGGTGGCTGTTCTCTTTTGGTGATGTTTCGTTTCACCCCTTAGGACTCCATTGGTAACATTGGTAACATCCCCAAAGAGAACAGCCACCTCGGTCTTGCAAATCCAAAATTACTAATAAAACCTGCGATTCTGCTATCGGGCAGCATTTGCTAGAAAACCCAGATTGTGCAAAAAACTTTAATGGCGACATGTTTCGGATTATTGGTAAAGCCCGATCGTCGTTCCACCTAGCAGTTTTAAAATCTATCTACATAAGCACGAAAAAACCGCTACTGTGTAGACAAAAGGAGTTCGTTTTCACCTTAGGATTCCATTGGTAGCATTCTAATAGGCAAGCGGCACTGATTGGTCAACCTTTACAGCCATGTGCTCGTGTTTGCGATTGGCCTATTTCGATCCACAACTGGGTATATATATTTCTTAGCGTAGAGTTTTCGATCTATGTTCTGACGTTTTAAACTCTGAAGAGTGTCAGACGAAAAGCTTTAGTTTACTAAATGTTTGCTTTTTTCAAAGCTCTTTATAGATAGTTGGCCTTTATTAGCTTCTTTATAGCTATCAACCGTTCATTTAGTACGCCAACTTTAAACAAATTATTTATTATTATTATTATATTTCGGGAACATGACAATAACCAACAGTGTTCGGGTGTCATCCAACAATGAAATGCATAAAAATTAGTTACTTCCCGCAAAACATTAAGATTAGTATCTTACTTTCCGTCTACGGCATCTTGCTCATTTGCTAATAGTCCAAGCTCCTGCAGGGACATCAGCATCCTTTTGCGTCGATCTGGTCTCCGCGCCAGGTTAATCATGTATATCTGAAAGTGAAGCGAAGAATCATAATTATATGCGAATATAAAACCGCAGCTAAAGAGCGCTTACGATAACCGACACCAATCGCTTAAAATTTGAGCAAGGTAGATTAAGGTCCTTGCGTTATGAAAACCGCGAGGAAACGCAAATCCTGGAATGAAATCTTTGCTGCCCCAACCATAAAATGAAAGCGCGTCTGATGTTCCAAGAGACGGGCGATGATAAACAGGTAAAAGTTTTTAACGATTATATTTAAAGAATGAAATTTAAAATTCATAAAAAAATAGTCAGAGAGCCGTTTTTCCTGCCACCTTTCTTTGGGAATTACCATATCAATGAGCTTCATTGTGCTCATTTTAGTGATGGGGAAATCATTCAAAGGGGGGCGTTAAAATGAGGATCTATTGTGATTTTGCATTGGACCGTTTGCCCATGTCTTTCTAGCAGTTGCACGAGAAAGTGAGCATGTGAAATAATTGCGTGTGTACGCTTCACCAGGAGAAGGCGAAAAAACCTAACAAACTCTGCAGTTCAAGTTGGAGCCCAGAAATTATTTATTTGAAGGTGATCAGGTATATCATGAGGCTTTTCACAACTTAAAGTACTTAGTTAAAGTACTTAGTTAAAGGAAGTAGTTAGTGCCCAATTGCTTGCCAATGATACTAGATGTATTTTTTTCCACCATAAAAGTTATCTTAACTGCAAACTCCAGCAAGTGATGGTTTCCGCCTTACGTTTGAATTACACATGCCTTTGTTATGAATTAAACTTATACAGAAATAATGGGGTGCTGCAACATGCTATTACGCAATTCTGAAAATGATAAGTGAATAATACAAAATTAACAAAGTACAACATATAAATTGCATACCGTTCACTACAAACGAGGTAGGTGTAAGATTTTGAAGTACGTAAAAGATTGTTGTTTTAACAGGTCGGTTTGAAAAATATAAATCATATATGAAACTTAGCCTGTATAAATATAGTAAAAAAATGAAAAAAATGAGGATCATAATATAACGCTTAAACTCGCAACGAAAATTAAGGATTAGAAAAAATTACATGTGGCCTGTTAATGATAATTGCACAAAAAAGCATAACACATTTAAATGTACCAATTGAAATTAAATCATCCCAAAAAATCTCTGAATATTGAAGTCCATCGACTTAATGTTATTATAATTATCACCTCGTCAAATCCAAGATTGTCAATTGGAGGTGGGCGGTGATTGGTGAGATTCGTCTCAATCAATGGTTTGTAATATGCTGATAAATAAAACATCAGAAATCAATCAAATATATATATAGCAATAAAAAATATTGATTAGAATCAAGCCTCCGAATTCAGTAATCAAACACACAGTAAAAGACAAATAAGCAAATGAATGCCTAAAATGTGTGAATTAATTTAGAGACAGATATTGGGATAGAAAGTTTGGACAAAATTCGTAATGGCGAAGTGGTGAAGCGATAGAAAAAATTGAATGAAAAACGTCAATGTGAAATGATACACAATGTTCATCAACAAATACTGACTATCAACATATTAAGCTGGAATATACTAATGCATACACACTGATATATTTCTTAAACTAATCTTTGTTGGGATACAAAACGATTCATTCATTTGATTCGTTTCTGCTCTTCTCCTTTTTATTATTGCTATCAAGTATCCAAAGTCCAAAATTTAGGTAATAACATTTTCTTTACGCTTTAAAGCTTCACAAATATAAACGATCAATAAAGTCCTAACTGGTATTGCCTAACTGGCGTTTCTCGAACTGACACGCCTTTGTAGTTACACAAAGCTTACTTCATCACGACAGTCCACCTGAATAGCGTTTACGGTTAAAGCCGTTGAAGTCAGCATCACAACAGACCACCTATTTGCCACTTACTAAAGATATCATCATATCATCCTTTATTTTTCTGTTTTAATTTAAGGAAAATTAGAGTAGTATTGGAAAAAAGTTGTCAAAAAAGAGCAAAAAAGAGAAACAACTGATTTCATCCGTTCACAAGAATGCTTTGCAGAGTTAAAAGTGAATTATGTGACAAAAATTGAAGATGAATTTACAGGTGTAATCAAATTTACCTATCCAGTCAACTTTTGCATCGGTGAAAGCTATTTGGTCATCCTCCAGGCTTCTCTCTGACCCCTGTGGGCTCAACATCCTCCCGAAATCGTCTTCATTCAAAATGTAGAGCTTGATACCTAGAGTGTTGAAATGAACAAGAGAGTTAATACAATCAGCCAGGGCATGAAGTATTTTGTCCTTTCTGCGACTGGACAGAAATCATGCATAAATTTCCTGTGAGATTGTAAAGACAAGAGAAGCAAGGACCACTTTACCATAACCATAATGATGTGTCACCAGTTTTATGAAAACAAAAGCTACATTTATAAAATTCTAAGCAAGTTTACTTACACTTCAAAATCATTTTTTTCATGAATGCCTAAATTGGTCTGGAATAGGGGCTTAGCTTTATAATTCACCTTCTAACTGGTAAGAATATTTACACTCAGAGTTGCTAGAATGCAGGTGGAAAAGTACAAATAAAGATCGAATTGGGATAGATGCTATCTTGAGGAGATGCAGGCAAGCATTGGAATAAAGAACATTAAAAAAATGAGCCTAACAAGATTTATTATATGATGTCCTCGTATCCATGGAAGTTTTTAACAAATTATTTGATTAAGATAAAGGTCAGAATCCTGAAAAGAATTCAATTGCAAAAAGCAGAAGAGAAAATTTGCTTCAATCAGTAAAAATCATTGTGAAAGGCACTTTGCAATAGAGGCCTTGGAAGCATCAACATAGCAAAAGTAAATCAGTAAAATATTTCAAGAATTCTGCGAAATTATAACAAAGATTCTTAAGCCAGATGAAAAAAGTAAACTTTTATCAAACAAGAATTTTTAAAAACATTCTCAAGGGCTCATAGGTAGAAAAACCATTTTAACCTGTACAAGGCACATATATAAGACACATTTGTTTTATCGTCGTGTTTTTATGAACATGAAAGAAACAAAGCTGCTTGTTGAAAAAGAGCATATTTCGAAAAATTTTCTGCAGAGCTTTACCCATGAAAAACTTCCTGCAACCACCCAGTCACATGGTCAGGTGAGTTTTCATGCCCTCACCAGCCCTCTTCGGTTGAGGGGGGCAATAAAAGAATGTTCTGAGGTAACACAACTATTAAGGGATAGGAAAAAGAGCTAGGCCCTTACCACATTTAGTTTGCTAGACTCGTCAAGGAACGAATTCAAAGCTTAGAATTCTCAGCCCAGCAGAATTAACACTTTCTGGGTTCCCTGTGTTTTGGGGAAGGTTTTTAAAGCTTAAGGAAATTGTCCAGGAGAAAAAAGGCCTACCTGCTTTCCGAGCAGAATATGCAAACAAAAGAATGTCATCTATTTCGCCGTGATACTCTTCAAAAGGTGGAAAGTACCGCAGTCCTTTTGTAATCGGTTGACGGAGTTCAATAAGATAGGTCGAATGAACCATTGGAACCTCGAAGCATCCTACTTTCTCCCTCAGTAATATTGGAAAATAGTCAGGCATCCTTTTGTAGTAACCCTGTGGTAAAGTTTGTAGTATGTTCAATTCAGCCATGACTATCGGATGATATCGGATATACATAATATGTTTCAAATGCTCATAATTAGCCATACAGTAACATTGCTTACAACAATCGTATTTTGTCCTCATTCCATCGAATTGAGGCTAGACCCCTAAGAAGAAGTCTCCTAAGCAGGAATGTGGACTTACCTATTCCAACGTGAGTGAACATAGTCATAATCATAAACCTATCAAAAAGTTTGGTTTTTTCTAGTTAATCTTGACTAATTCAGGCCAACTATCTACAATAAATTATATAAGATGAAAGTAACGAAATAATAATGTGATTTAGTGCAGCCCTAAATTAAGCCCAAATTAAGTCCAATAAACAGGCGTACTATCATAAAAGACGTCAGTGAACAGCTTTAATGCAAAACCGTTCTATATTTCAAAAATCTCTCCCATAAATAAAGATATAAAATGACTCCCATTCTCGTCAATTTTGACCACCATCAAGAATTTCATTACGAGTGAAACATAAAAACAGACACTAGACAAAAAGGAAGAGCTTTTTGTTCTTTAATGCCTTACAATGTACTCAATAGACACAATAATTGATTATCGCTAAATTGGAGAGGTCTCATGACAGAAACTCCAGTTAAAATTGAGGCAAAAACTAAGGAAGTACAATCCTCGTGGCATTGGTCTAATCATCCAGGACAAATTAATAAGACACAACATGTACTTACTTGCTCATCCATTCCACACCAGTAATTTGAATAAGTCGTTTCATTGTTAAATGCCCGTATCATTGGAGCAACAACAGTCCTAGAGCAAAGGCAACGCAAAAATAGCCTCAACATTGCTCAAATGAACTTCACGTTTTCAGTAAAACTTGTCAACGACGTAGTACAACAGATTAGGAACTACTGTATAACTTTCACACAGACAGACCACACAAAAAATTGCGAAAAAGCTGAAAGTTTCCCTCGAAATTCAACGAGAATTCAAGCTATATAAAGAGAAAATAAGAGAAAAAATAGACATAGGTGATGCGGCCCTGCCCTTCAGATTCCCTCAAAGCTACAGAAACTTTTCCTTTTTTCAAGAAAGCTGTCCTCTTTTTTAGGATAAAAAGTCCTTTTCTAAAAAAGAGAAATATTTCTTTTTTCTCAAACATTCAAACAAGCCAACTGCAAAATTTGATGATATATCGGGAAAAGTAAACATGGTGAAACTGCTCAGAATGTAAACCGCAGATAAAGACTAAAGATTGGCAAGATTTGTGCCCATATGCTGATAGACTGTAAAGCCTATATATAAAAAAATCAGCAAGGCTGAAGAATTATAGATGGGATTGAAAAAATGGGAAACCATCAAGATTCTATCTTCCTTGATGATTTTGAGCATGTGGCTAACTTCACAAAGGACATTGCTTTTATGAGAAAGGCTTTCAGTTGAGCCGGTGATTAAAAATATTTCCAAAATATCATTGACAATATTTTGTAACATCTATCAATACGTTTTATTCCTTAAATATCCCGTAAAATTTAAGAGACAAAACAAAAAAATAATATTTTGCTTTAATCAGGATAAAAGTCTACAACTGGATATAAACATTTGCAGAAAAAAATTAGTTTAACAATATCACAAATTCTTATTCCCTTTAAAACAAAATTCTACTTTGGGTTGAAATATCTATGTTAAAACAAAAGAATTCTCAAACAAATATACTTGCTTACTTCTTTTTAGCCATCAATGCCTCTATTGTATTAGGATTCAAAAGAAAGTTGTCACAGTCTAAAACCTAGAAAATAAAAACCAATTCTATATACAATGGTATTTAGGAGAATTAACATTGTACACATACTTACTTGTTTGCTGAAAATAACAAACTGCTTGGATATGATCACCATTTTAAAAACCTTCAGAAATCTATACCAGAGAAAAATGAGAAATGGCAAGAAGCATCCACACAATGTACTGGTTTTGATTATCGAACAAGGCCTTGAAAGAATTCAAAAAAGACTTAAGAACATGCCAGCCCAGAAATTAAAGAATTGAGATATTTAGGAGATAAAAACAGAATATACTTATCAATTTTAATCAAGAATCTCTTGAAGCCATATTCTTTAAATTTTCAAAAGTCTACAGGCAAAGTAGTGCTAAAAGGCTCAGGGGAGCTTAGCCCCCTTGTTAACGCCAAAAAGTAGCTAATTTCTACTTTTGCTATTGTTTTTCTCAGCATTTTGCTCGAGATCCCCCTTTTTTAGTGTTTTAGCACTACACCCTTGATAAACTGCCATTTTGCAAAGACAATTATCAAGTTGTAGATAAGAGTTATTCAAACTTCCAACTTATTGTAAGTTCAAACAGCAATAAACTTACTAGCAAATAGTCAAGAGCTTGAGATCTAGCTTCATCCAGTGCCCTTTGCCGTAGCTTGGATACATGTTCATATCTGCTTGGTGACCAATCATTTGGACCTGCTGCATCATGGAAAACCCTTTCACTGGAATTGGTGTAAAATTTAATTTTTTTGTACATCAAGTTGGCATGCTTGATCCATTCTTTTAATCTTTGTTCAGTTTTGTCTTCATTGTGATCAGTCTGAATTCTAAAATAAAAGAACAAACTCTTAGCTTAAATTCAATTCATAAAAAGCCTATTATGTCTACTTCTTCTTTATCAAGGGAACTTTACCTCGATTGGCTTACCTACCTACTTAGAGAGCTCCTCCTTAATAAATCTATCTGTATACAATAATGCAATGATTATTTAATATTCTTAGTTTGTAGTTTTATATTTGATGTTATTAATTTAGTATAAAATTTATTTTTTAAGAAACTATGTAGAATGGTATGTAATATGGCTTGATAATCAATGAATACCAAAACTTAAAGTTGAAACTCTATTAATGTTTCAAAAAAATATACCAATGACATTCTTGTTCTAGAATATCTTTATATGTTTGGTTCTCTGTAACTATTATGTAACTGCAAGATGTATACAAAAAAGCTTGTTGTAGCATAAGAAAGCACACCAAGAAAAAAAGAAAGAGTGAAAACATTTTTAGGAACTGGATATTTTCATTATGCTGTTATGTTATAAACATGTTTATTAAGGACCAACTGTCAAGCAACAAAGAAGCTTCTATAATTTACAGGGTCTTCTCTTATTTATCAACATGTGTCAGCTCAATTTCATGATATTCTGTGCCATAAAACAAAAAAATGTGTAATCGTTCGATTCTTGAAGAGATGCTGGTATTCTAGAATTAATTTAAAATTCCATGCAATTTGCATAAAGCGTATTCAAAGATATGTTTTTATGGAATGTCTGATAACAAAAGGCAGTTTCACATATCCCCAAGGCTTTCATTATGCAAATCATTTTCAAACTTGCCAATGGCTATATTTTGTCTTGCAGCCGAATCTGATGTGGCAGAATTGGCAACTTTCTATTTGTCAGCAAGCAAAACGGCGCCCTAACTGACACCAGCAGCTTTGTGTGTTTGTTATGTTTACCTTCCTGGTGTAATTGCGCATATTTTATTTTCTGACACAGAAATTTGTAAAATTGAGCAGGCACGATGTTGATAAACAACAGAAGACCCTTTAAATTATAGAAGCTTCCTTATTGGTTGACAGAGGGTCTTTAAACATGTTTACATTTTATTACTCTGATAATATCTCAAAAAAGGAACACAAAATACAAGATATCAACACAATAGAAGCCTCTTAAAATTTTGTTACATGCAATATATGTTTCCTAATTTCCAGCACTGGTAACAAATTCTATCTGGTTAACATATCACTAGAATTTTGCGTGTACATTCAACATGGGTTTGGAAGAAAACTCATGTGAAGCAATCATGAAAACAAAAGTTGCTAAAAAGACCCAATGTGGGCAATGTTACAAAAATGCTAGCCCTCACAAAAGAACAAAGTTGATCATCGAGGTTTCAAAGGAATACTATTACCAGACATTATTAGGCTGTTTCTGATGACAATAAATTTACAATTATAATCATAATCAAAAAAGTGAAATTTTCCAGCAAATACATTGCTAATTCCTGTCTTCTATCTAAAAATACAGAATTAATTTATTTTATACCCATTAAAATTTTTCAACATCCAATATGAACTAAATTACCTTTTGGACCAATTTATTTAAACATTACTAAACACTATTTGTCCAATTAATCTTAATGTCCAATTAAAAGAATTATCATTTGAATCCAATTAAAATGGCTAAATGATTATTTGAAGCTACATTGAGTGGGTACAACAACCTAAGTACCCAATAAAATCTTGGTGATTTGGTTGAACAATACTTTGACAAAAGGCCCTTTCGTGTTAGGTTATTATCTCAGAATTTTCATCATAAAATTGTACTTGTGCTCTTTGCAAGGAATACATATGCTTTATTTGATTTACATTACATATGTTTAGCATTGGTAATTCAAATTAGTTGGTACCTTGAGTATAGCTAGAGATTGTATCAACCTTAAATAAAGATATAAAAAAAATAAAAAACACATACAGAATGGGTTTCAGGTCCGAACGCTATTAGAATATGATTTGCATCATTACGTATCGGCATAAGGTATGTATCGGCTTCACAGTCTTCAAACTTCTAGATTCTACTGATTAAGTGAATTTGGTAACTTTAAAAATGAGCTTTGTCATGCAAATAAATTTCCGTCGAAATTCTTCACCAAAGAAACTACACAAATAATGCATGATTCTTTGAAAAATGAACAGACAGTAAAGAAAATGGCTGAAAATTACTGTTATCATGTTTAGTCAAAATATAACAAAACATGGGTCAAAAGAAAGAGTGAAAACTTTGCTATAGGTCTCCAAGGATACACAATGCTCAAAGGTTTTGTTACCATCTCAAAGTTTAGGGAATAACTTACTACCATCATAAGTATGATGGTAGGGTGATGTGGAGAAGATGTCAAGGATTACTACTTATGACCTTAATACTATAGTCATAGGCTATTATAATCACATTCCACAAACTGAACTGCCAACACCTCAATCCATCGGAAGAAACCATAGGTTAGTGTCAGCGGCTCTATTCAGCATTAACAAATAAATCCTGCCTTCTTGCTTTACCTGTCTTGAAGAGCCCTCGACCGAGATGAATACTTTCCCCAGAGAAGTGTTGTATTTTTTTTTGAAGATTACTGATCTCTTCAAAATAAACTGAATAGACCTTAGATGCATCAAATGATTCATTATGATGAGATGGTCCTGATATATTTAGGCTTTCTCCATCAAAAATGAATTCTCTATAGAACAGGTATTTGATGTTTTAATTGGAAGGAGGACAATAACCTAATAGTTTTGAAGTCAATTTTTCTAAAAATATTTACACGTGCTATTATAGGCTCTGTTTTCAACTGAAAAAAGACTGAACTGGTATTACTTTTATACAAATCTCAAATTATTTTAAGGAGGAGTAAAGTGCACTTGGTCGTCTGAAGATGTTAAACAGCAAATTTTTACCCTTGAAACAAGGAACTATATGAGTATTGTTTAGGAAATTTATGGCATTCATCTTTTGCCACTTTCACATAAAAATGTGTTATGATAAGTTACGAAAAAACACGTGAAGTTATTTCAACAAACTATGACAATACCTAACAGCAAATGAGCAACAACATTCCGATGAAAGACGAAGACTGCCATTCCTACAGCAGCTTTATTTTGACAAATCATCAGGTAAAACCAATGCTATTCAATAAACTTGAAAGACTCAAGTTCTTTTGATAATTATAAGGAGACGGTAACATTCTACTACTAGCCGCCGGGCAAATAAAGAAATTTGGGAGACTCTAGACACTTACAAAATTGAAATTTTTTCCTTCGGGTAGTTCAGCCTCTCTATGTACCCAAGATATGTCGGCAGAGTTTTCTCTTCATTTCTTGCTATGATAGAAATCAGAATTGTCGGTTTTTCACTTGGTTGACTGTTGTTGACATCCAAATCATGACTGGCCGGGAACAGACTTGCAGCAATGTTGTTGCCATCATAACAAGATGCAAGACAAGCTAAAGCTAATAAAAAATTCCTTAATGAAACCTTAGTATACAAAAACATTTTCAAACTGAAATATCTATAAACCTTTTTCTCTAAAACCTATATAAAACGTCGCTTTATCGACTCTATTCCATCACTGTACCCTGCTGATATGATCGACAACTTCACCCATTTCCCCTCCGGAAATTAACAATTGGAAACGAGGCTCAAACTTTCTAGAATGGCCAATAAGATGCACCCCTCCCGTTGAAATCAATGAAAAACGTTTAGAAAGGAAGGTTAAATTTCTTACTACAGTACCTTTCACAGCACACAGACTGAGCGGTACCATTGCAAGTCACTGAGTATCAAAACTTGTGGTTTCATCATTTATTCCTTGAATTTTGCTGAGGATATCACTTGTATCCAGGGGGTAACAAACCTACGCTATTACACCGTTCCTTAGAAAAGCTAGAAAAAGGATCAGGATATCGTGATCCAGTTTCTAACGAAGGGGCTTGATAATAATGCTAAATTTCATCCGTGTAACAAGTCCGGCAAGCATTTTTCTTCACAGGGGATTAACAGGTAAATATTAGCGGCGGCCAAGAACCGCGGAGCATATTACAAATTGAGGGGGAACATTTTGGGAGGGTCAAAGATGCTAAAAACCACGAGCAGGGCGATTTTTGTATCATTTCAAGTATACTTCGGAAATTTTTGGGGCCCATTCCCCAGCTTCCGCGGTCCCTGGCGAGGGCGAAAATTCTGTCTTTAACTTTAAGAGCCAGTGGTGGTGCCAGGGGAGGGAATAGGAAAGTGCCCTTCAAAAGGGCAGTCCCTGCTTCGAAATTTCTCCCCGGGGGGGGGGGGGTTTACCGGGATAGTCAAACTAACTAGCCTAGTAAATTAGGGCGAAAAAGCCAGTATTGAAATAGTGAATAACATTCTACCGTGATTCAGCTTAAGGGATTTATTCCTTGTGTAGCTTTAGTCTCATGTTTGCATTCATGTTTTTAGACATTCGAACATGCATTCAGATCAAAAAGCGGCCGCAAATTTCCATGGACGTAAATATCAACATTTTAAAAAAGATCCATTATCTAAAAAGCAATATACGCTTTTTAAGTGCCTTAAAGGGCTGAATTAAGCCAGTTCGAGTGTGGGAAAATTAACGGAAAGTTGGCACCGTTTTTTCCGGTAGCAGACAAGGCTCGAAATTTTCCATTTTTGTTTTATTATCGGGTTTTAACACAAAAAATGATATTTTTTATGAACTCCTCCAAAACCAATTAGATTTAATATCCTTTTCCTAGCGGTTTATTTTTAATTTAACTTTAATACAAATTTGAAATATTTTAATGCAAAATGTTGTGAAAGCACTAGCGATGTGAAAAGCGGCTGCCTAATATCACACCGAGGTTACCGAGTCTCTTTCTAGGGACAGCTATAGTCGTCAATGTATCACCATGGCAAGGTTCTTCGTGAAGTTGATTAGCCTTTTTTGTCACCGAACCTGTTGTGAACCTTTTTCGATTGAGCTACTGGTAATGCCATGTTTCATTATCAACCGCCTTAGCAGTGGCGGCCTGGCCCTTTTCACCTAGGGGGGCCAGCATCAAAATGGCGCTCTTCATAACACTGTTGTCCTTTTCCTGACAATATTGGCAGTCCAGGGACGGTGCCAAGAAATTCAAAATGGGGGGGGGCTCAAGTTAATAGCTTTATTTGACTAAAAAACCAACATTGGGAAGGGTAGGTGAGAGGTTGTCGGAGGCCCTTGGTACAACTCTGAATAGAGGCTTCCTTGCGAGCGTAGCGAGCTGATAATTTTTGCGACCACGCCCGTTAGATAAACTTAAATTACATTTCAAAATATTTCTTGCAGTCATTTTCTTGAAATCGTTTTAAAATTCTGCTATTTTTAAGGCATGCTTTTTGTACGTTTGATTAATTCCAGTCTTAAAATGGATTTCATTACTTTGTAATAGGGAAAAGAATCCACCCTATCTTTGTATCGTCGAGACAAATTGGTCCTTTCATGAGAAATGAAGCAATGAGACGAAATCTACTGACCATGAGCACAGGGACGCAAATAAAATAATTTTTCATGGGGGTGTCAGGACAAGTTGAACCGACTCATGTACAAAATTGACTGTCTTTTAGAAGCCAATCCAAGCAGATAAACAAAATAAAAATGTGTCAAGAACATGTTTGGGAACTTTCAAGAGACCCTACGATGTGGTAGAATGAGTATTTTGTTTTCATAGTAACTGTTGTGTTCATTTGGCACCTTGGAGGGGAATCAAAAGCACCAGATATAATATTTACCTCTGTTTTGTTAAACTTGTACTTTGGGGCAGCTAAACAAGCTCAAAACATGCATACAACTCAACTGACAGTCAAGGGGCAAATGAGGGGAGTGTAAGGGTAACAAATAAGCCGATAAGTGGAGGATTCCAGTTACTCAGAAGGCTAGAAAATGCGTTTCTAACATATCTTTGAATGCATCATGTCATTTGATACAAAATGAAGTAGATCTTCCATCGAACTTTAAAGAAATATTATTAAAGACCAAACAAAACGCAACTGTTGAGAAAATTAGGCCCGATCCAAATTTCTTGTCATAATCAATGTATGCCTCTTTAAAAAGAAGCCTGAAGCATCTACGCGTTAGAAACATGAAGTCAATGGTTTGAGTTAAAAGTCATCTGCTTAATTTATCCTCTATGAAAAAACCTAATAAGAGCTTGTTTCATTATGTTTTAGCTTTGAATACACTTTTTAGCGTTATTTCTTGTTATCTTGTGCACTTAAAACTGTACGTTCGTGGAAGTGTGTTGAGATATAACATATGGACTAATCTAGGATGAAGCAATTAAACAACCAAATTGTCTGTCAATTTGGTCTCTGAATGCCAGCAGAGTCAAAGAGACTCGCCGAAAATCAAAATTTTCCCTGGAAGGGGGGCATGAGTACGGACACCCTAAACACAGACTGTCCCCGACAACCCAAACTAAAAAAATTATTAATTTTTTCGCCCATGGAAACTGTACAAATGTTTTGTCTGGATAGTACTAAAGGGGCACAAAAACGTGCCCTCGAAGTGAGACTATTCTAGGGGGTATGGCGGCGTTCGCCCCAATAAAGTTTTGAATTTTATGGCATCTTCTTTGTCTCTGCTGACCTCCTAGAGACCTAATAATCAGACAAGTCGCTCGTATCGAACTTTTTTCGAGTTTTCGGCACCCTATTCAAGCTTTGGCACCCCTATAAAAAAGTCAGCTGGGGGCCCTCGTCCCCCGGTCCCCCGGTCCCCCGGTCCCCTCTGCTAGGCCGCCACTGCGCCTTAGCAAAGGTTTTGCATCTTTCATTGGCTAAGACTGCGTTTACATGATGCCGTTTGATCCGAATAAAGTTATACGGATACATTAAAGGATACATACAAAATTTTCTTTTTATTGACTAAAAGGTTAGCATCTGATGCGTGTATTATGGCAAAGTCGTTGTTTTTGCAAAATTCCAATTAGTTTAGAAGTTATAAGGCTTTAAAGGCTAAAACGACAAAAGCCGAATCAGTTTTGTGACATTCTGACGTCACAATGTGCGGCTCTCGTTCGCCGTGAATTTCGTATATCTTCCACCGAATCGTGATGGAGTCATGGTCACGCGTTGATAACGGCATCTAAATCTAGAGCAGTAGCTTTTTAGGATCGAAAAATATTAAATGTTTACAATCATTCTAAGTTTGCGGGTCGGATTGTGTCCATGTGTCACGACTTTGTTTTGATCACCTGTGTAGTAGGCCAACAAAGCTACGGCTTTCTGTTCCAGCTCTTCCCTCGCGTATAATTAATCGAAATTGACACTTCAGTTGTTCTCCAAAAACGATGAACAACTAAAGACTTCAGAATTGACATCTGAAATGCTCAAACTAAAAGCCGGTGGAACAGAACTGAGAGTACCATCACTTGCAGTGCAGTGTTCAATTTGCGAATCGCCGTCGTTCGATTCGGTTTGAGGCGAGACTAACGAAATACACTGTGACGTCAAAACTGCGTCACAGTGTCACCAAACCGAGAAGTTTTTCTCGGTTAATTCAATTCAATTATCGAAATGCAATAGCTTATATCTCACAAACTGTAAGAATTATCGAAAAACAAATAACGAATTCGTGATCAGCAGGTTCAACGTCTTTAGATTAGCCAATAAAATGCAAGTGCAAAATTTGGCTGGAGAGGCCCTTTAAGTATCAAAAATTCTGGTGCCAAAAATTCCGGTGGTAAAAATTTCAGTCATATTTTTTAAATTTCGGTGTAAATTTCGGCAAAAAGAAAAATTTCGTTGAGAAAAGAAATGAAACATGTAAGTTATTCTATCTTTAACATAAAATTGTCTGGAACACAATCGTAAAAGTTATAAAAGTTGAATATTTTGATGTCATCCCAAAGAAAATTAAACTGAAGAGTAGGCACGAATCTCATAAACTCCTATTTAGAGGAGGTCGTTTATATTTCATATTTTAGAACCCATGGAGAAAAAAATTAATTGGAAGCAATATTTTCAATCGCCTATTGCATCGAGGAGATAAGATATTGCTATCGATTGTGAGTTGAAAGATGAGGAGTCTAAATTGAAACCGCTGGAAAGTTAGAAAGAAATACTTGAGACAAATTATGAAGAGCCAGTAAAAGCATCAGCTCAACCCATCATAACGAATTCTAATTTCTTGGATATGAAGGGCACAAGAAAAGAAAGTAAAGATGAGGTGGGCATCTTATTTGTTGATGACGAAGGAGAACCAGAAGCTGCAAATTAGACCCTGTTTACACGAGACAGGTTCCACAAATATCTGTATCCATTTGAGTTCACTTCCTCCTGTTCACACGGGACCGTCTCCAAAAAAGTTCACTTACGCTTTCTGTTCACACGAGACCTGAACTCAAGATAGTTTGTGAAAAAAGCACAAAACACTCAAGTCGAAGGCCCTTATTACCGTGCCAACAAAAGTGAAAAACCGCCAAATTCACTTCGCTTTCGCTTTATTTCTAAAGTTTCTCCACAAGGTTTCTCCCAGGTCTCGTCCAGAAGGTTCTTCTCTTCTATTTCTTTTCAATTCTCAGCTTGTGCGAAACGATCATGTCATTTGGAGCTCTGCTCTGCTAACGCAAACAACCTGTTTTGTCGAGTTCGATGAACCTTTGACATTAGGG